TATTTTATTTTCTCATTTAGAACGTACTGTATAATTAAGTAAGTTTTTAACTTCTATTATTTTCCTTTCTCATTTTGAATGTATTGTGTGTTTTAGGTTCTCATGATCTTAAGTTCTTATTTCAAGTCTCAAGTGCGTTTATTCGCGACTGAATTACGGAGAAGAAAATATAATATTAATTTATGTTCAACATTCACCATTAGTACATGGTGAATATCGACACTGACCGGTGTAAATCAGAAATAAGAGTATTTGGAAAATATTTCGGACATACATTAAGAGACTATGTGAATGTTGACATTCACCGGTGAAAAGTCGACATTCTCCAGATTTCGGTGTTTCACCGTAACACATACATTTTTGAATCCAGCCCCCCCCCCTCTGATAGCAGAAGAGTACTAATATTTTTATATAACTACATATTTGTTTTACTTTTAAAATATACAGAAGATGCATAATGAACCCATGATAGCCTAAATGCATATTTATCGAATATACTATAAAATGATTTACCATTTTCACCTGGCCCATTCTTACTGATAAACCATTCTAAACTTTTTGGAGCAATAGTCAATATCTGAACCTTTTCAGACTTTTTTTAATATTTATTTCTTTCTTTTTATGATTTGTCTAATAATGCACTGACACTTTAGTTTTTATCATGTTTTATGGCAAGCAATTTTATTTTATTAAAATCATATTTCATATAATATCACTGACATTATAATTAACAGCCACTCAGTTTGACTCCGCACTTCTTATATAGATGTATAGATTAGTTTTCACCAGCTCTAGTCGAGGTGGGGGGGGCAGCAATGGAGAGGGATACAGGATTTATAACTCTCCTCATAAGGATTGTATTGTACTGAGATTTTAAAACAGATCACTTCTAATTAAATAATTTTTATTTAAATCAAATATAATTTTTGCAGTGATGGATTTGCTTTCATAAAAATACCTTAAATTTTAAAGACAATGAAATTTGAAATTAATTTTGAGATGGGAGTTGAAGTGGGAGAACCCCCTTTCCCATGAAAAATTTCTCACTAGGCCCCTGGCTCTATTAACTCCTGGTATTAACCTTTAGAACTCAATTATGAATATAATGGGTTTATATGCTTAAAAGCTAGATATGATCTCATAATTTTTATATTTATCACTCTTATACATTACATAACAGTACAGGCTGAATTACCAAAATGACCTTGCCCTTTCTAGAGATGGGTATATTTTGTCATCAATAAATCTTGTTTATTGATGACTTCTTCAATCGGAGTCAAATTTAATACCAACGAGACATAACACTATGCAAAATATTATAGATTTGATTCTATTATATCCAAATTGTTGGCTGTATTAGTTTTTTATATACTATAAATTCTTGCTAGTCAACATTGTAAGTCTTTTTGGCTTATTTAAAGGACAGAATATTACATAAAAATATTAATTTTGAATAAACAGAATAATCAGTAAATTGTTCTTATACTGTATAAATTTTTAGCCTATGGGCAATATTAAAAAACATGTTAAATTTCGAAGCTCACAGTAATAGTTATTAAAAAAAATGATAAAACATCAAAAATTTTTTTAGGATTTAAAAAAATATTTCGGACTTAACTTTAGCTTTAATCTTTTCACTCCTAATAGGCACATATATCCCATACAGCTTTCTTGCTTTATTAATAACAATGTATATTCTAGTTTTGCATTGTTTTACATTTTCAATACTTACAAAATACCTAAAAACTTCATTACATAAAAAAAGAAGACAACCAAAATTTGCAACATGCAGAAAGAAAAGGATACCACCTCATATGGTGTAATAAATTCCCAGATATCACATATAGTTAAATAAAAAGTCTATATGGGAATGCTGTATTAACTCCACATTAAAAGCATAGTTAACTGCCTATTTTTGATAGGTGTATATATAGTTGACACCCGTCACCCATGCCTTTAACTCCTTCACATCCAATCCGCCCGACACGGGCCCTACTTTGAAACAACCAGAACCGCCGGAAAACGGCCGAGATTTTAATCTTGTTTTCTTCCCTTCTCCTAAGGTATGCAGTAGCCGGTGCAGTTTCCCCAAATGCATTGTATCAGTTTACTGCAGACAGCTTGTCCTAAGAGGTTTTTTATCTTTTGGTTGATCGTGACATTTCGTTGTTGATTCTTCTGTGGTACAGGGTGCTTTTAAGCTTTAAACAGCAATAATTTCAGAGCAGTTTAAAAATGTAAGGGTTATATTTATTTTTAAACAATTTATTCCTTCTTATAAAAATAATGGAAATAAACAAAATCACAGTCGTGGTGTGGTGGTGTGGTGTATTTAATTATGGCAAAGCACATGAGGGCTATCTGCCTAAAGGGAGGGATGCCTTCGTGGAGGACTTTCTAAGGGAAACTGGCTCGTATACACGTTACACATGGGGAAAACCATGAAAACGCCCATGCAGCCAGCCCGTTCGCGGGATTCGAACCTCGGACCGAACTACCAGTGTTCAGCGACTTTACCGCTCGGCCGCTGGTGGGCAAATCACAGTCGTGATCATAACAAAGCTGGAAAGGCTTGTTGGTCTGACCTTCAGAATAGTTTTATAAAGAACGGGGTCAAAGGCTAATGAATCTTTGTTAGAAAGTTCAAAGGATATCATTGGAAATCCTCACACCTATTTTCTGTGTTAATGGACGGGGAGGGGAGGAAATTGCTGAGAAACTAGAAAACTATTTCCGCAGTCCGGCATTTAGAGGATACATGTTAGCGAAGGGTCTGGATTTCAAAGAGTTAATCTAGGGTTAAGTGACTGACTCTATTTATTAACTTTAGTCATATTTTGCTGATCCTAAGAAATCACAACCTATTAGTACATAGAGGCGGTTTGTGTTACTTTGTCTGAGATGAAACTTTAAGATAAACAGGAATGCAACATATTAATCTGCTAAATGTTCCAAAAAGCACTTGATATAATACCTCATATGAATATGATTAGTAAATGGAGAATTTACAGTTTATGGTAATATATTCATTCTATTTATTTCTGTTATTAATTTACCTAAATATTGCCATGATATAAATATCTTTACAAAACCAGGATATATGGGCCTAGTTTTCTTTAAAATTGAGATATATTACATCAGGTATTTTCCTAAAAATTGGAAAAGGAACATCTTTATTACATTCAAAATAAAGTCTGAACTAAAATGCTTTATTCTTTTAGAGTGAAAGGTAAAAGGGCCAAATCATTTGAAATTTTTTTCTCATATGATACAGCCAACATTGTTATTATAATTATTATCATTATTAAAGGTAGATAAAAGATTTCTTGACAACTTATTCTACAAGTACTTCAAGGGGGGGATATACATTCAAATTCTGATCACACAGTACCATAAACAACCTGACAGATTAAAAACCAGTAAAACAACAGCTTCTCTCAAAATAATGAAATTAGTTACAGTAGAAATAGATTTACACACAGCAGATCCCTGCTTACGTAATTTATATAGGAAGAGGTTATCTCAGAAAATACCTTTCCCCCCACATAAATCACAGGAATTATTTCTGACAGTTACAAGTAAGCATCAAATTGTTAAGCAGAACTGCAAATGACAAATTAATGACTAGCTTCCTGGACTCAATGATTCAACATTATTTCTTTAAATATTTTGGTATTGTAAAAGGTTCAGTTTAAATGCAACTTACAATAGATTTATTTTTCCTCTACATAAGACTTTTTTTTTTTTTTTTTTTTTTTTTAATGTTAATGATAGCATAACACAAGTTGTTTAGAAAGACATCAATATAATGAAAGGTCTCATTCAAATGAAAATTTAACAAAGCATTTTCATACCATATTTTAGTTATAACTTAATTTTGCCACCCTGTTAACATGGTGGTAGAATAGTTGGCTGTCATATCCTTGGGACCTGGTTTAAATGCTACAGCACATATGAATGATTTCAAATTACTGTGTGGCATAAAGGCACTTGGCTAATCTTTGGAATATGGTAACAGGTAGTTTGGCGACATTTTGGTAAGGCAATAAAGGTTACTTAGCTAGGACTTTAGCAGTGTACATGGATAGAGTCAAGAGTGTGCGCAATGCCATTTTTGTGCAATTCTGGGATTTTTTTTAAGTGAAAATAGGTCGACATGTACATAAATACCGTGTATGTGCAATTCTTAAAAATGCGGCAAGTAGTTTGCGATTCTGCACTTTCTCCCAATTTCGCACCTAACTTTGTCATGATTAAGCATTTTTGTTCCACAAAAGTTCTAGCATAAGCGTAATTCGGCTAGCAGATTCTTGGAAAAAAATGTTGGGTTAAAAAAAAAATGCCTTTACTTCGTGAAAACAAAATGGTGTCCAAACAAAAGCTAGCAGGTTGCTGTAACAGGGTTGGTAGCCAAATTTTCGCCAAAAAATCGTGACCATAATCCAAAGATTAACCAGGCACTTAAAATACTATCGAACTAAGTCCTCTCGAGACTTGTGAAAGGGGAAGAAGGCTAGGAAACCCTCAGTTTTTTTTTACACCCAGTAGGGAATGGGGACTCCCTTTAAAATTGAGGCAAACTAAGCAAATTTATACCGTAATCTACAAGGTGTGCAAAGCCTAAACCCACAATATGCATACTCCTTGACTTTCAGGTACAATAAAAATTTGTTGACTTCACGAGATGTTTCTGCTACATACCTGAAGACGCAACATAACTTGTGCAGAACAGTGCAAGTTAAAAGTTAATATTTATAGATAACATACAAGATCACTCTAAGATTAATTACAAAATTGCTGGCATGTTTGCAGATTAATTTACCATTTAAATTTTTATTAAAGCTATGAGATACTCTTTCGTATATCAAAACAATTCACAGATTTTTTCACAGAAATGTTTATAATATTTCAGAATTATTATAAACAGCAGTTTCGAGACTATGTTTCTTGGTATGTACAAATGCATTTAAAAGAATTTATACATTATTTCAAGAACTTACCACAGTTTTGCTCATCAGATCCATCTTCACAATCAATATCATCATCACATTGCCAGGAAATAGGGATGCATTTTTTGTTTAAGCACGAAAACTGATGAGATGAGCACTGACCTAAGAATAAATTCAGATTTAATGAATATTAAATATACATTTTAAAACATAAATAAAGCTAACTCACCATTAGAATAAAGAATGGTAAATAAAATGTTTTGTAAATGCTATTGTAAAAATAACTAGTAAATGAGACCTGTTCCAAAATCTGTTACATGCTGTCCCATTAAACTATCACGAAGTAATGTGGTTTAACGCCAGATAAGCGTAATATAGCAACACCCTCAGAACATTTTCACTTTCATCTGATTCTCAATGAGCCATCTTTTGCTTTTATGAACAAGAATATAAATTAACTGTTATTGCTATATATGTGTTGAAATTGCATATAGGTGTGTGTCTGTGTGTGTAATCACTCCCCATTTTCTGCCAACATTTTGATAGTTTTTCAAAGCCTTTGGCTGAGAAACTTGGTTGCCATGAGTCGCAAAATAGATCAACCTCATTCCATGTCCTGTGGAGAATCGAAAAGATAGCACAAGATGTAGCTGCAGGTGTGATAAAAAAGGTAGAAGTCCGAAGGAGCGATGTCAGGGCTCTATAATGGGTGTGGCAAAAGATGCCATTCAAGTTCGTTCAGTTCAGCCGGTGAATGCAGACACATGTGGACTTACATCATGAAGGAACATTACCTTTTTGTGCCAAACTCTGTTCAACGTTTTTCCTTGACAGCAGCATCAACACAGACTAGCATCTTGCCGTACACTTTATTGTCCAGGGTTTTACCTTTTTCTACATATTCTTTGTGGACAATGTCATGGCAATTGCACCAGATATACAAAGCATGATCTTTTTGTTAGTCAAATTACACTTTGCGATGCTGGAGGGGTTCACCATGCGCACACCAACCCCCTTTTCAGCCTGTGTTGTTGAAGTAAATCCATTTTTCATCACAAGTGACAATCTCGTCCAGAATTTTGTCATTACACTGATATTCAAGCAGATTATGCTGTCCTTATCTGCTTTAGTCTGCTTATGCACCACCCAAAGATTGAAATTGTACGTAAAGTTTACGTACAATTTAATGTAATGCATAGCACGACTAATGGGCATGGCACTAATGTCCAACTCCTTAGCAAGCTCTCGAATGGTTGCATACTGATCTTCTTCCACAAGTTCTCGCAAGCATGCCTTACTAACATCAGTATGCCGACCAGAACACTGTGCTTCTTGAATGTCAGTGCTCGTTTCAGAACCAAACCTTTACAGTGTCACATGATACAACATTAGTACCTAAAGCTGTACACATGATTTGGTGGCATTCTGTGGCTGATGTTTTGCAACAGAACTGGAAGTAAATGATGGTTCTAATTTGGTAATCTGATAGTTCCATTTCAGAGACCTTGTACTTAATAATATACTTTTACAATTTTCACAATACAGTTCTAAAGCAAGTCTCTTACTTTCAAATGACCAAAATCTTTTGAAAAAATATGATTAAACATGCCAATGCGTACTGTTTGTACAGACAATATTTGCGGTGGTGGGAAAACTTAAAACCCAATTTTAATCTTCAGCTAATTCTGAAATAATGATTTCTAAAAATATTTGGCTAAATCGCAGAATAGGCTGCATCAGTCGATGCTGTATTTACTTCTCTTATGCTTGGACAGGCCTTTTTATGACGTAATATTGGTTACGCCTCTCCTTAAAAACAAGTTATAAGTATGCTATAGCTTCGTATTTAAAGACAACTTAAATGAAGTTTTAACCGAGTTGAAATGGTAGGTTTATAATGTTCTGCGCGAGATTTTTTAAATTATAAATCTACTTTTGTCTGGTGTGTGGTAGTGTTAGCATTTAACGCAACGAATTATCTCTGACAAATGTATTATTAAGATACCAAACGATTAAAAACGATCATTACCAAACGATTGAAAATATTGAATGCATGAGTTAAAAATTATAACCATAACTTGACAGAAAAGAAATGAATGAAAATACAGAAAAGAATTCTTGCTTGTTTCGATTATTGATGAGTGTGTCAAAATCGGTGCTTACTGCAGAATGAATGAGTATCTGAATCTGGATTTTTTTAATCAGTTGGAGCGAAGAGGCAAAAAGAGCATTATCGAGTGGTGTATGGAGAAAAGTTTGATTGCAATTTCGTATAAGTGCCCAATTTGTGGAACTAATATGAAACTAGTAGAGAGAGAGACGGTTTTGAGATGTATAGACGATTTTGAGTGGTGCGCAATGCCGCGTTTCTGCAACTCCGAGATGTTTTTTAAGTGAAAATTGATCGATGTGTATATGGGCAAAGCCAATGCTGTGCACATTGCAGAGGTTGTGGGGGAAGCCGACTTTGTGCAATTCTCTGATGTTTTTTTAACTGAAAATAGATCGATGTGCACATGGGAAAAGCCAATGTAGCACGCAATGCCGAGTTTAGTGCAAATATCTAATGTTTTCTGAAGTAAAAATAGATCGACTAGCACATGGAAAAAGCCAAGGCAGTGCGCAATGCCAAGTTTGTGAAATTCTCTGGGATTTTTTTAAGTGAAAATAGATCGACGTGCACATGGGCAAAGCCAATGTGGTGCACGATGCCGAGTTTATGCAATTGAGGGATTTTTTTAAAGTGAAAATTGATCAATGTGCACATGGGCAAAGCCAGTGTAGTGTGCAATGCCGAGTTTCTGCAATTCTGGGATGTTTTAAGTGAAAATAGATCGATGTGTACATGGGCAAAGCCAAAGTTGTGCACAATGCCAAGGTTGTGCACGATGCCGAGTTTGTGCAATTCTGGGATGTTTTTTGAAGTGAAAATAGATCGATGTGCACATGGACAAAGTCAGTGTGGTTCGCAATGCCAAGTTTATGCAATTCTGGGATGTTTTTTTAAGTGAAAATAGATTGATGTGCACATGGGCAAAGCCAATGTGGTGCGAAATGCTGAGTTTGTGCAACTCTGGGATGTTTTTTTAAGTGAAAATAGATCGATGTGCACATGGTCAAACTCAATGTGTTGCGCAATGCCGAGTTTGAGCAATTCTCTGATTTTTCTTTTAAGTGAAAATAGATGGATGAGCACATGGACACCGAGTTTGTGGAATTCTTTGATGTTTTTCGAGCAAATACTGATCATTGTGTAGAAGAGAAAACGAGGTTGTGTGTGATGCCGAGCAGTAATGTAACTTTATTTATGTGCAATGTTTAACATATCGTTAGTATATTTTAAGTTTGTATTATTGTTTTAATTGTGAATTATATTTAAGACGTCATTTTTCATTTAAATTGTATTTTTATTTTTTTTTGGCTTTGATAGGTTTATAACGCTTTCGGACTTAGTCCCACCCATTTATGGATGTCACACAGCTCCTCCTACTGAACTTTGTTGATGCAGCCTATTCTGCGCTTTTACCAAATATTTAATATATCTTCATTTCTAGCCTTTCATAACAGATAAATAATTATGAATCTTACATAAAAAATAATTTTTTCTAGAATACAAAAAGTGGTCCTAAAACAATTTCCAAAAAAAATAACAATACTTTCCTTTCAAAATTAGCTATGCATTTTAATAATTATAAATGCTACACCAGCATATATACAGAACCGGTAGAGATGGTATGTGAAAGACCAAAACTGGCAAACATGCGCTCCCGGCAGACGGCCTGGTTGCATTAAATTTTCACGGTTATCCTCATTCACATGACAACGCGCCGTCTTTCAGAAGACAGCACTCTGAAAGCAGATACTGCCACAATCAATCAATCCCCCCAACAGTAATATACATTTTAATTTTTATAATAAAGACAAATACTGATTTGCTCTGCTTTAATTCGTGTAATATAAAGAAAGCGGAGAAAATCAAATAAACTGTCAGAATATTCTATCCCAACTCTAGTCGTAACATAAACAGAGTGTCATATATGAGGATTATGAGAAAGAGTTTAAAATCACTAATCTTAAATCAGAGCTACACAGAACGGAAAAAATCATCAGCTGCTGGCAAACTCCAGTATTCTCAATTATTTTACTTAGCCATTACAAAACAAACACGATTGCTCAACAACTTATATGTTATCATCTGTTTTATCTAGACATACAAAACAAATACGATAACAACATCTGATAATATTCTATTTTTAGATAATTAACGATCAACTATTTAAGCAGCAATAGAAACTGGTGAAGAGCAAGGGCGGCACCACGTTATACATCAATCGAAAAGAAATAGAAAATAAACATACCTTCAGATCTGGCCACAAAAAATGATAGCAAAAAAATCCCACCAAATAAAATGCATATATTATTAACACGGTAAAGCACCATGTCGTACAACATACAGTGCACACCACTTTAATATCCTCACGCCAAAAGGTAACTCGTAGTAAAAGGAGCAACTACACGTCTTCGGTAACCAATACAGCATCAGTTTTCATGACGTAGCCATTGTCGTATTGTACGCACAATCCCTTGTAACTAATGTAAATATGTGATTTTTCATATATTTAGAAATTCTTATTTCAGTTAAAAAGCAGTATGAATGTAGATAAGTTCTTAGTATTTCTATTAAACGACTGTGAAAGCACAAATGATCTCAAAAGATATTTTACGTCAACCTTATTTTAAATTGCACCGGGTGGCAGAGCAAAAAACAGAATAACCTTCTGCGCATCACGCCACTGAAGTTGATTCTCATTGGTTCAGAAATAGCTTTTTCGGGTGAAAGAGAAGGTGTGTACGAAGGTGTGAGAATTTTCTGTCGTGTCATTCACGGTTTCGCTTGGGGGGCATAGACAGTGAAGGAGATTCTTTTTGTTCGTCCTGCAGAATGCCCCTTGAAGGAATGCTTATGATATTAACTATTTACATGTCAATGTTCTAATGTGTAAGCACTTGTTTAAAAATATCAAATAACCTATTATTAATTTTTTTCCAATAATCCGTTAATTTCAGTCACTTCTTGAACGGAATTAATTTTTCAAGTACTTAAAAAAAATTAATGTTATTTTTTTATATTCTTTTGGTTATTTTATATCTACAATAACTAGAAACTACAAAAAAAAAAAATAAATAAATAATAAATAAAATAAAATTCGAAAGTATATTGTTCCGTAATTTGTTATTGACATTGTGCAGATTAGATTTTTTATTATACGTTAAATAGAAATTAATTCATAAACGAATTAGACTTCTCACGTATAGTTAGTTATATTTTTCACTGAACATTTGGTAACCAAGGAGAAAGTGAAAAAGTATAGACTAATTAAGAATTATTGTAAAAGAAATGGTAGATCATGAAAAGTTGCATCTGAAATTAGAAATTGTAAGCCCTTTCCGTAAAATTCCAATACCGATTTTTCAACTTTTCTCTAGGTAAATTTGGATTATTCATGTTATGACAGAGCACTTGAAAGTTATCTGTCATCGTGGAGGACTTTTTAAGGGATACAGACTCTTATTTGTATAATCAATTAGGGAAACGACGAAAAATTCCCATGCAGCCAACATCTTAAGCCGGGTCCAACTGCCATTATTCAGCGATTTTAAAGCTAAGCCGCTGGTGCCCCATCCCTCGGTAAATCTCTGTATCTTCAATTTATCCTAAGTTAAATCGTCTGTTTCCAATGTAATTTTAGAAGAAGGGTTGATCATTAAGTGTCGAAGAAAAAGTAAGTGTAAAGAAAGTTTTGGGGATAAATTCTTGGGGGAAAATAGTGCCGTCCCTTAATGAAATTTAACATTTTGAAAATTCTATTTTCAGGAGTGATTTTTGTCAGCTTAATCTCAGATAAATTTTCATAATTTCAATTTTAAAAACTCGGATATTTGTTTATATATTTCTTAATTGAATGTATAATTCGTACAGAATAGATGGTGGAACATTCGAATATTCAAATACCTCGAATCTTTCAATCTTCGACTCTCGACTGAGAATTCAAAGCTTCACAAATTTTTCGTCATTATCCCAAATCTAATGAAAGATTCGCGATTCGAAACATATCTTCACACACCTTTCATCGTTCATATCTTTCGAATCTTAACCTAAAAGCCCATTAATGCTTTAATGTAAAATTTTCGAAAAATTAGTTTTATAGACATCCAGCAGAAGGGCTCATTAAAAACGAACTGGAACGTTGCAATTTCGGTTGATCTGCGGCTCCGTTATCACACATTATTTTCTGGAGAGAATTTAGCATAGTAATGTTTAGTGTTTATCTATGTGAACTCTTGAAATAATCCCCTTTTTTCAGCACCTCCTTTTGTTCTGAATTTTTTTTTTTTTTTTTTTTTTTTTTTTTTTTTTTTTTTTTTAATTTGAACTGCTTCTCTAATATATTTCGGAAAATTATACTGAGAAATGAACCTCCAGATTTAAGAGGCTTTACATATGCATTTCTTTATCTAAATTTCACTTGCAACTTCTTAATAAATACAGGGTATTTTTAGAACTGTATTTTTAAATCTGCTCGTTACTAAACACAAATTACAAATTCTGCATTACTAAAAAAATTTCTTAACTTTCAGTAAAAGTCATTTCTTTTCAGTAGCTTACCTAGAATTTAATTTTGTAGCTTGTATTCACCATCATAATGTTAAAACAATCACTGGGAAATTTTTGTACTCGTAATTTTGCCATTTACAAATTGAATTTTATCTAAAAATCATGCAGTTGCAAAAATATCAGACTATTTAAGTGCAATATATGGTAGTCATTTTATTTACCCTTATATTATTATGTTATCAATGAGGAAATTTTAATTAATTTTCAATCATCAATACAAAAATCTTTACATTACGTTCAGATCAAAGATATTCTTGAAAGCAGTTTTTACTTCTTTGTACGAAGTAAAGGAAGTATTGTAATCACGAAAAATTTCGGGTACCATATTTCAACGAAAATATCCATTTTTACCTCTATCGAACGGAAGTTAATGATGTTTTTTGCGTGACATCTATACGTAAGGGCGGAATAAAGGACTCTTTTTTCCAAAACGAATTATAAAACTGATTTAATATAGATTCAGATGATATTTTTTTCGTACGTACGTACATATGTATCTCTCATAACTCAAAAACGAGTAGCCTCAGAACGTTGAAATTTTGTATATAGGACTGCTATAACACGTAGTTGTGCACTTACCTTTTTGGTTCCAATCGGTCACTCTGAAAGTATATGTATAAATTATAAGTAAAATACATATATAAAATACATATAAATTATAAGTAAGGTTGTAAGAACAAACGAAAAAAGACCAATTTTGGTCAAAATTTTGCGCATTGTGCTGCAAAATTAAGGAAATTAGAGGATAAATTTTAGTACGCACGCCAAAAAGTTACCAAAAACTGTGGCTCCGAAAAAACTCCAACATAAGCATATTTAGTTACTATGAAATGTGTGAAAGAGAAGAAAAAATATTTGAATATTTACAAGTTAAATTCATAAAAGAGCTATATGCTAAACAAATTAGGTAATCTTTAACACAGTAAAAAAACAAATCAATTGAACGAGGTAAAATAAAGGTAGTAGGCTATATGCTAAACGAAAAAAGTAGATTATAAAACACAGTAAAATACTAATCAATTGATCAAGGTAAAATATATATTAAAATTAAGAAGCGGTAAATGGTTAATTAGCCCAATTCGAAGTTCATTTTGGTTTTTCAAGGGAAATTTTTTAAATGAATTTCGAACCAAGCTAACTCCATTACGCGTTTTGCCAAAACATACAACTGAAACTTTGCGCGACAAATTTTTAATTAATTAAAATTTTTAGATAAAATTCAATTAAATAAACTATGTCAAAAAACTTTAGTCTCAATTCTCTGTTCCAATTTCCCGACGCGTCCGCATATATTGACACGTTAAGGTGTAAAAAATGGAAAGGCAATTCCGATGTACAGAAAAAGTAAATAAATAAATAGCGGTATGCTATTAGTCAAAATATACAAGAACTTATGGGTTGGACCTGCGAGCTTAAAGAATGAAAACTTTGCATAGGAACCGTAAGTTATATTTAATGCCCACTTCCCACTGAAAGAAGGTAAGTTAATTAATGCTTTTTCTGGCCTTTTATATCTTCATGTACATTCTCTTTTCTTATTATATATATTTAAAATTTAAATTTTTATTTTTTGATTTGTTTTTGCAAAGATTGCATTATATTTCTTTTATTTCGTAATTTTATAATGTTTATTTCAATTACTTTGAGTTCTATTTCATAATGCCAATTTCCAAAGTTTAATATTTTACAAATAGTTTGAAATTAAAATGCATGAACACGAGGGTGTCGGGGGACAATTACTCAAGTAATTTATCAATTTTCCGCATAAATTCCTTTTCACTCAAAACAGAATTTGCGAAAATGCTTAATCAGAATGAGTTCTTTGGTGCTCTGCATTTGTTCTTGATCCCTTCAATTCATGGAAATATTTGGCCTAACTTAAATTGCCTGTTTGGCATCACCTTATTACTTGAGTAAAGGACGAAACACCTTCGTATTTATTTCTTAATTATTGTTCGTTGAACGGGAGTTTGGTTTGTTCCCCTTGAAAAGTCAACTAATTTCCGATCAATGGCAATGATTACTTGCTTTTAATTTAATTACTTGCTTTTAATTTAATTTCTTTTTACAATTGAAATTTTGTTATTCATGATTTAATTCAAGTCCCCGTTAAACATTTTTAACAATTTACATTCAAGTTACTTTAAAACAATTTTCGGAATTAAACTTACTAACTATGGATTCACTCTTTTTAGATAATTCTACTAAAATTAATCTTAGGAGATAATATAATCAATATTTCTTTAGTAAATAAATTATTATTAACTTACTTTGCAGCTATTGCGCAAGGAGTAGAATAACTTGATTTCGCACTAAGTGAATTTAAGATCATACTACATACATATAATATATATATTTAAAGAAGAAAGGAAGTTTGAAAAATCTAGTAAAAGTCGTTTAACAACAATGAAAAAATACTTCATAAAAGTTTTAAGGCTTTACATAGAAGACCCAAAATTCCTCGCAATAATTATTTAAATAAATTTTCAAATCTCTATGTACTGCCTAAATTTCAAATTTAGATACACTGCTAATGGTACAAATTTTTTAAAAGAGAAATCGACTATCTTTTTGCTAAGAAATTTAAACAAATACTTGATATAATTAATAATTTCAATTTTCAAGATCACCATTTCAACTGGATTATCAATAATAGCGAGACGGTTATAGAAGCGTTGAATACGCTTAAAAATGATAGCACTAACTGCTACGACTTTAATAATCTTTACACCACATTGCCTTTAGAAGAAATTTACGGCAGCCTACTTACATTACTTGATCTGTTTTCACAAGTTCTTACAATAATCTCAGGAGAAGAATGGAAACTTTATAAGGCATTTCTCCCTCCTTCTTACCGTGCCTTCGTGGCGTAGTAGTCTGCATGATGAGCGCGTATTCCAGAGGTTCATGGTTCGATTCCCGGCGAAGGCGTTGCGTATTTTTCATCTTTCCTATTTCTCAAAAAATTCCTGAAGTCTCTTCAGAGGCGTCCGAACTA